TTTCATGGCTGTCAATAAAATGGGACATCCTTGTGGCAGCAATAGTATTTTCACAAACTAACACAAAACTGTTCGGAGAAGTTTTATTTTCTTTGATAACTTCTTAAATGCGTTAGACGATTTAGCTGTTTTAGCAGTTTTAAACTTTACTGATTGGTAAACTCTGAAACAGTTAGTAGTGATTTTTTTCTAGAATTTAAAACATGTTAATACAGAGATTTCTGAGAATGGTCAGGTGATTCCAGTGGGAAAAAAGTATTACAGCAGACCCAAACTGATGAAACAGTGTGATAAAAATATGGTAAATAGGTGTTCTGTCTCTGCCACCCTCTTGCCCTCCATGAGCTCCACAGCTCTGTGGGGATAAACAGCAAGTGGGCTCATTTTCCTCGGGGAATTACAGCCTGCTGATAACAGAGCAGAGTTGCTGACAGATGTAATACCACAACTGGTTGCCATTTGGTTTATGAAATACGCCACGCCAACAAATACTTTTTGTTCATCCATCAGCTTTGAGGTCAGAGCGTCACCAGAGTTCTGACCTGTTGAGGTTTTCATTTGAACTTTCTCAGATCGTTAGGCGAGCAATCAATACAAGCTTGGGTGGATAGTTTATTTAGTTACAGACGAGATTAGAACTTTGCAGCTTGGCAGCAAATACAAGGTGCAAAATCTGCACTTGCTTGTTTTCTTTAGGAGGTAATGCAGTTATGTCATGATGTGAAGCCTTAAACTGAAGTGCGCAAGGTGTTACAGAGGACATTTTCAAAAACCTGTTTATTATGAGGGAAGATAAACACAATATTTTAATGAGTCAATTGTTTTAATTAAATTTCATATTAAATTAGTATTTCACTGGCACAAGAAATGTTATGTTTTTTAACATTTAGGAGTAATATTGAACAAAAAAATGCTTCCTGTTTTATTGTGTAGCTCTATTTCTCATTTTTTTTAAATTTTTTTTATGGTTTTGCTTCTTGTTTAATTTTCTGTCAAAGTGAGGTCCTGTTTGTTAAATATGTGTGTATGTAGGACTCAATTTTAACCAGTTTCTTTGCCAGCTCATTGTACTGTTTCTACTGAATGGCCTGGCTCTGAAATCTGTAGATTTACAGTAGACCTGGGTTTGTTTAGATTTCCTGTCTGGCAGTGCCTTTAGTTAAATTTATTTTTTAGTTCAATTCAATTCAGTTTATTTATATAATGTCAAGTCACAATAGAAGTTGTCTCAGGGCACTGCACAAAAACTTTCACATGTAAAAAGTCAATTAGTAACATTATTTATTTAAGGAAGGACGCCAGCAGATTGCGTTGAATCTTCACTTAGTTGCAGTCTCCCATCCTAAGTAAGCACAAAGGCAACAGTGTAAAGAAAAAACTCCCTTATAACAGGAAGAAACCTCCAACAGAACCAGGCTCAGGACAAGTGGCCATCTGCTTCAACCGGCTAGGTTGGAGAGGACAGAAATGAGAAAAGGACACAGAATGGCAGGTCCAGAATGGAGGCGAGCAGATCCCTCTCTAGGAGGAAAGATAAAAAATGTGTTTTCAGTTTTACTAGTCTGAATGCATTTTGTGTGGATCTCGACCACTCTTCATCACACACCCACGAAAAGAAAAAGTCAATAACAAGAACAAAAATAAATAAATAAAATCACATGCCAGTTTATGGTCTAAATGGGTCACCAATTCTTTTGAAACAGAGCTACTTCAGGAGTGCAGAGAAACCTGAAGGGCTACTTTGTTTGACACAAACATACATTTGCATGTCTGGCCAAAAGTAGAACAAATCTAGCTAAAAACTAAGAGGCTAAAAGTATCAAAGAGAAGCTAAAAAGAGCAACAATGTGTCTAAAAATCTAAAATATTTAAAGTTAGCTCATAGATGAGAGGGGAGTGAAGGAACCCATCTATGTAAAAAGAGAGGAACATCTCTAAACAGAGGAGGAGGCATCAGATTTCAACTTTCAAAAACTTATAATGCAGCTTTAGGACTGACACCCAGCCAGTTTTCACATCTATCATATGGGACCAGAGGGGCCTCATCTGTGAATTAGAATATCAAAGACATTAACAAACCCCTACTGTGAGGTGTGATAGGTCAATCTGCATACGTATGTGTGTATCTTATCTGAGCTTTATAACCTGAACCCCACACGCTCTGCTCTTTGAATTGAGAAAGCATGTCGGATGAGAAGCGAAACGCCTTCTGTTACAAATAAAGTCCAGTTGTTTTTGTCTTGAACTCTTTTGAATGTACCATGTCCTGGATGACTGAGAATCTTCACCAGCGTAGCTGAAGGTCATAAAACACCAGCTAAGTGTAATAAAGCAAAAATAGGAACAAAGGGGACATAATGGATGGATGTGTTACTGCGGTAAGAAACAGATATTTAAACATAAAACATAATTTATTTTATGTTAGTCTCAATGAGAACCATTTGAAATTGAGTGTAATTCAGTGCCCTGAGATGACTTTGATTGTGACTTGGCGCTATATTAAATAAACTGAATTGAATATAAATTATCTTCGTAAATACTTTTGATAGTTTTGTAGGAATTAACACATTTGTAAAACTTGTTCAAAACACACATTTCCTTATTAAACACCATTAAATCAGTAAATTTGTTTTTAAGTCCTGTTTGCAGTAACATTTGATTTTGTAACACATCAGAAGAACTCGTGTAGAAACAAAATATCACTTATGTAATATAAAAAACAAACTTTTTTTATAAATCATATCACACTGATCCTCAAATTGATGGCATTTTTAAGTAATCATCAAATCTTTGATTTTTTTTTTAATTACTTTTCACATTATTCATCTATGCTTCCTTCAAGACCTCTCCATCTGAAAATACCTCGTAAAGAGAGTGTTATTTGTCAAAACTACATTTAACTCTGACATTTTTCTGCCCTCCATGCTGCCAGGAAGATGTTAACATTAAAGCTAAAGTGTTAGCTGGTGAAGTGCCACTCCACATTGTGGCGTGTTGCTGTCACCACAGCCACTCCACAAATGAGACACGCACACTTGTCTTTCACAACTGTTAAAAAATCCTTTCCCTCCCAACCACTGTGAAAACATCATGTTTTCTTACATTTTTCTACCATTTCCCTCTACACTGTGAGGTAGATATATCTGGCTGTGCTGCTCGGAGATCGTCTGTGTAGAGTTGCATTTGGGTCCAAAAAATCCATCTGACTCGGCCCCAGCCCGTAGCCATCATTTCTGAACCCCACCCGATCTGACAAATTAACAATAATTACAGGTCCAAACCCGAAAAAATCCTCAACATTTTTAATTAAGCTTTGACTGCTTATGCCATTTTTAATGGTGAGCAGACACACACGGCTAAGGGGGCAGAAGATTGGAGCTGAGGGGGTGTTTGTCCTTTCATGATTGTCAAAGTACATTAAATGCTTCCCCAGTTTCTGCCTGCATTCTGCATTATTCAGACACGGACCCTGCTCTGACATGTCAGATATTTTGGGATCTAACCTCTTTGGGTTGTCGGCTGTGCACGTTTGCTGAGTGCAATGGCTGAATGGACGTCCATTTGGGTGATGGATCATTGACAGAAGTCCATCTGAAGCTGAACTGAACCTTTTATCTCTTTCTTTGCTAGTCATCGCACGGTCAAATGGCCACGTGCAGCAGGTGAAAGTTTGGCAGGCAATGTAGCCAAATAATTGGATCGTCAGCCGAGCACGTCCGCTGACACACTCAAAACCCCGACACTAACCCGGCCCGCACATTAAGCACATTATTATGGACCAGCCTGGTACGACTCCGGGTCGGGCGGGTCCAGGCTTTGTGTTAGAAATGACAGCTCTACGTCTGCGATTGATTCTGAACTTTGACTGCAGACAAGGTTGTTTTCTTTTAAAAGTTTTAATTTATTCTTTTTATTTAAAATCTTCATACATGCACTAGCTATTTTTATTTAAAAAACATTTAATAACTAACTTCATTATTTATTTATTTACTTTTTTAAATGATGAGCACAATTTTTAGAACATGCCCTGAAAGCGACTCATGGTCCCTCTGGGAGACCAGGTGTCATATCTGTTCTTTTATTTTTTTCCTTTGTGTTTTGTGGTTTTCCTGTTCAGTTTAGATCTCACGTTTTTATATTTCTTACACCATCTCCCATTTACCCTCAGTAAGCACTCTCAGTGTTTTTTCCAGTCAGCTTGCCACCCTCACCTGTCCCCAGTCAATATTCAGCCCAGGTGTTTCCACTTTCAGTCTGATTCAGTTGGTATTTCTGTGGTCCCTCGCCTCCCCCTCTCCAGCGGTTCATTATTCTGAAATCTTTTCAGATGTCTCGGTCCTCCTCGTGCCTCCCTGCGTTTTCCCTCCTGAGTTTTTTGCAAGTTGTTGCTGTCACGTCAACCTTTAGTTTTCATTTTGTTAAAATAAATGTTTCATTTTACTTTGAGCTCTTTGTGTCTGCCTGCATTTGCGTCCAGCCTCACAGGACTCGACACCAGGTGCCCACAAGCGCCATGTTGGTGACCCCTGGTTGAAAATAACCTTCAAAAATTGAAGGTGAGAGCCATATTTTACAAAGGCAAGTCAGACAGTTTTTAAAACAGAAAAAGACAGATAAGCCACATTACAACTGTTTTAGGAACATTTTCCAAGCTGATTAAGTCGAGACCAATGTTAAATGCAAGGTTATCAATAAAACTAATTCCATCTGTTCCTCTTATAGAAGCCACAAATACAAGGTTTCAAAGTCTCTGCGCAGACTCAATTTTTAACGTCCTCAAATTATGCAGCACAATTTAAAGTTGCCTTATTCTTTATTGGTTTGTTTAGACTGAACCTTACATTCCAAATGAGTGCATTTATGTGTGTGACCAGACACAAACTGAGTCAGACCAAAGACCACCTAATGCAGAGTGACTGAGCCCTAAAGAAAGGAAGGATAAGAGTCAAGCTGAGTGAGCGTGAATCTAAGGCTTTTCCTCTATCCCGGCTTATTTCTAGCACTTGTTTGGTCGCAGGAGAATGAAATGATTGAGCTTTATCATTCAGGTTTCAACGGCAGGAAGTCAGAGGCTGCTGCGTTCTGGCTCAGTGGCAGCCGGGCGGAGCAACAGACTTCTACACCGACACAGTTTGTGACTCTGTGTTTGCAGTAATGATGCTTGGAGCCATTGTGGATGGACAGTGGCTGACTTTTTTTTGAAATTCTGACTGAGTTGTTTTCTCTATTGAATTTGCGAGCGTGCTCCAGTTGCAAGTAAAAAATTTGAGGTTGTCAAGGTCAAGGTTCTTTATTGTCATTTGCATCACATGTGGTACATGTGGTGGAATGAAACTGTGTACACAAGGTCCCAGTTACATCCAACAAAAGTATAAATTGTAAAAGAAAAACAGTAGATCTAAGATATGAACTAAGAATACACTAAGCACTAATAGTGCAAAAACAACACACCGAACAGCAGCACCAATATGAGTCTGTGTGAGCAGATGAGTACGAATGAACACAGCAGCATGAAATAAATCAGCAGCATGAGGTCAGCAGCATGAATAATCAGCAGCACATATCAAGTGTCATTAGTGATTTTTTTTCCACTGTGACAATCCTCCATCCATCCATCCATCCATCCATCCATCCATCCATCCATCCATCCATCCATCCAACCATCCATCCATCCATTTTATTCTGCTTATCCGGGGTAGCAGCTTAAGTAGGGAGGCCCAGACTTCCCTCTCCCCAGCCACTTGGGCCAGCTCCTCTGGGGGAATCCCGAGGCATTCCCATGCCAGCCGAGAAGCATAGTCCCTCCAGCATGTCCTGGGTCTTCCTCTGGGTCTCCTCTCGGTGGGATGTGTCCGGAACACCTCACCAGGGAGACGTCCAGGAGGCATCCTAACCAGATATGAGGGTAGGAACATAGATCAATCGGTAAATTGAGAGCTTCACCTTTTGACTCAGCTCTCTCTTCACCACGACAGACCTGTACAGTGCCCGCTTCACTGCAGACGCTGCACCTATCCGCCTATCATGGAATTAATAGAACAAATAACTACTGCTGTCGATCAAAAACAATATTGTGTTAGTATTTTTGTTGATTTTAAAAAAGCTTTTGATACTATTGACCACACTATTCTCCTTGAAAAATTAAATAAATATGGTATAAAAGGACCAGCATTACACTGTGTATCTAGCTAGTTGAAAGATAGGAAACAGTTTGTACAAATAAATGGTGTTAGATCTGACCTCTGCAATATCACGTGTGGAGTTCCTCAAGGCTCTGTACTTGGACCAAAGTTATTTATTTTATGTTAATGACACAGCTGGGCCATGTTGCTGGGGAGCGGGATGTTTGGGTCTCCTTCTAAAGCTGTTCTCTCCAGAGAGTACAACATTTCTGCTGTAGTCTGTTCCAGCAAACCTCACATGTGCTGTAACCTAATTCTGCATCATAATATAATTCCAGAATGCAATGCAAATGGCTGGATTTTACTGTAATATGTGGTATTGTGCTGTAGTTTTTTTTTTTTTTTTGTATCTGTGCTGATATAGAAAATCTACAGCTTGTAAGAATTAATGTATTCTTGTCATGAGGAGACCCCTGGTCCGAGCCTGCAGGCTTCTCGGTGTCCTATTAAAAAAACAGAAGGAATGAGGAAGACAGGAGGTCTGGACCCTTCTGCTGAGACCAGTGAATTGATAGAATTAAAATAGGTACACTTTTGAAAACCTTTTAAAACATTTTTAATAGTGTTATTTGTCACACGTTAATCTCAATAAAGTCCACATAAACATTCATGCACCAATATTCATCACTTACTACGAATTGTATTTAGTTTAATCTCAGATTTATTTGTGATGTTTAGAGCTAGAAAAAAAAGGTGCTTAAAAAATGTCCAACTAATGATGAATCAAGTTGTAAAAACAATCGCAAATCTTTGTTTGTAAGATAGCCTCTATAGAAATGATGATTACACTTTTCTTTTACCGAAAACACATAAAAAATTAGCTCCACTGCATTCTTTAATCCAGTGTAATTTCACACATCACCATGCAAACGCCTTTCTCATTAACGTCAGTGCAGCTCCCCATGAATATATTTGAAACTCATAATAAAATAACTGCATGGTAATATAGAAAATTACCTCCTATATAATTTCAGTCCTATTTTTTTTCTTCAAGAGTCAGCTCTGCGTTCTTTCAGTACAACGAAGAAATAAATAAAAAAAATACCTGAATTGGCTCATCACAATTACCTCTGTAAGAACTAATTAGCAACCAAATGATTTGTCCCGACACATCTGCATGCGAGTCTCAAGCTGTTCATACTGTACAAAGTAATAAACATTAAAAAAGACAATTAAACCCCCAAATGTCTCATTTTAAATGTATTAAAGCGTAAAACAACAAAGGCTTTGACATGAATCTGGCACATTGTTCTTCCGTCTATTGAAATAGTTCAGATTTTTTCAAATGAGGTTTAAAGAAAGGTTATAAAAATATACTATCTTAATTGTTGCACCCGACAACGATTATTGTAGAATTAGATGTTTAGTCCAGTAACATTGATGAGCTGAAGGCTAGTTCAAGCAGAGTCAAATCCAATGTAGATTAATGAATTCTTCAAATCACTCCAGTCAAAAAATATATATGAATATACAGGTCCTTCTCAAAAAAATAGCATATTGTGATAAAGGTCATTATTTTCCATAAAATTTATCATAATGTAATGATAAAAATGAAACTTTCATATATTTCAGATTCATTGCACACCAACTGAAATATTTCAGGTCTTTAATTGTTTTAATACTGATGATTATGGCATACAGCTCATGAAAACCCAAAATGCCTGTCCCAAAAAAATAGCATATCATGAAAAGGTTCTCTAAACAAGCTATTAACCTAACCATCTGAATCAACGATGTAACTCTAAACACCTGCAAAAGATTCCTGAGGCTTTTAAAAAACCCCAGCCTTGTTCATTACTCAAAACCGCAATCATGGGTAAGACTGTCGACCTGACTGCTGTCCAGAAGGCCATCATTGACACCCTCAAGCAAGAGGGTAAGACACAGAAAGAAATTGCTGAACAAATAGGCTGTTCCCAGAGTGCTGTATCAAGGCACCTCAGTGGGAAGTCTGTGGGAAGGGAAAAGTGTGGCAGAAAACGCTGCACAACGAGAAGAGGTGACCGGACACTGAGGAGGATTGTGGAGAAGGGCCGATTCCAGACCTTGGGGGACCTGCGGAAGCAGTGGACTGAGTCTGGAGTAGAAACATCCAGAGCCACCGTGCACAGGCGTGTGCAGGAAATGGGCTACAGGTGCCGCATTCCCCAGGTCAAGCCACTTTTGAACCAGAAACAGCGGCAGAAGCGCCTGACCTGGGCTACAGAGAAGCAGCACTGGA